CTATCAGACAGCGAGCGAAACTTGTGGATTAAAAGTCCAAATTGTGAGCGATGACATCGATGAACTTCTGGACAAAGGATTTTTTTTGACGACTGCAGTGATGCCGACTTGGACATTGAGGGTTTTGACTTTGACGAAGATGACAATGAACATACAAATAGAGATCTGAGAAGTTTTTTAAAACAACTATGAACTTTGGTGTAAATTAGTAAATTATTATTGATCTTGTATGACAGTTGATCCGGTATTTGTCAAAACTGAAAATAATTTTATCCCTGACGTTTTAGTTCATTTTGAGTTCACGTGCATTGGGCGTGATTGTCAACAGGGAAACCCTAATTCAATTGATTTCTCACTGTGGAGTTTTATTATTTCTGGTTTATTTGTGAAATTATAAGCAATAAATTATTTTTGTTTTACTTCTAATGTTGCATACGGATATTGTTCATTTAGTTCTGTTGCTTTTTGAGTCCCCCTTCAGATGCAGTCCGAAAACGGCGACTTATGTTTTAACCTCCTTGTGTTTGTCTGTGCTTGCGTGTGTGCGTGCGTCCGGACCTGTATCTTAGAAATGCCTGGACTAATCACAATCAAACTTCACACATACATCATACATGATTTTAAACATATGCACGTCAATTTGTTTCACGATCTGATTCAAGATGGCCGAATGGCAGCCATTTTTGTGCTAAAAATCATCAAAATCAAGCATTTCTCGGCTGGATTTTGTATCCCTGACTTGTTTTGACTGATTATATACATGTATTCAAAATGGCTGATTTTGAATGCTGTTCCAGAGCAATATCTCCAGTGTTCGAAATTAACCGAAAATCATAACAGGCCCGAAGGACCTATGTCAAATTTAAACTGTAGGTCTTTCTAGCTAACTGTAGGCCCTGATATTTAACAAAGACTAAACGGATAATACAAAACCTTTATTTACTAATCAATCAGATATATTATCTGCAGCCTCAAAGACGTCATCATCATTTCTTTCATCGTCACTAAACTCATCAAAATCTTCAGAAAAAACACTGTCATGAGCACTGGCCGACTCTGAATCTGACATGCATTTTGCATCGTGCTCACAATCATTGGCGTCAGCCTCATCTTCTACAAGGATCAATTCTGCTGCACGATCCTCGACAAGGCCGGCAATACATCACCTTGTTATCAAACCTTGTTGTTGTTGTTATCAAAAAGTAACCAGACTTTGAACTCCGCCTGCCAGCTAACTTGGAATGTGCGTGGTTTACGCCTAGCCTGTTCGTATTCTTGCTGTTTGTCACGCCTTTCTTGTGCGGTTTTCACACGTTTAGCAGCAGGCTCCTGGCAGTTTAAAAGTTGCCACATACTTCGATGTAGACATAACTCTGCAGCGTGTTCGATGCAAATCAAAGATGGCGGAACATAAAATGTATGCGCGAATTCTATTGGTTTGAATCGGAGGCTTGATCGGCCTACATCCAATCAGATCGTTTGTTACAGTTCCCAAGTTCGGCGCATTTCGCGATCATTCA